ATTTTCTGTTATTCGTTTAAAATTAGCGTTTTCTATTATACGTTTTGAAGAATTATTATTTTTTGTTGTACGTTTAGACTTAGAGTATATTCTGTTGTACGTGTAGAAAAATTATTGTTTTCTTCATATTCAATATATGAAGAAATACAGTGTATTTTTCGAGACCTTTTTACAAAGTTTTCTACAAATTTCAAATAAATTCATTCCTTTGTTAAACAATTTGTTTTTAAAATTTGGTGATGAGAATTGCAGTTGATGAGTTGGGTTGTTGATGAGTTCGAGTTTAAATTTGCCTCAAAATGGCGCGTGGGAGGAGCTTAGGTGACATTGTCGCCACTGTCCTATAAAGTCACTGTAGAGTTAACGCATTAACAACGCCACCAACGGCGCCCATACAAACTTCGATGCGACCCTCAGCACCCTCTCGCAGCAAGTACAAAAACTTACGCGACAGGTGGCAGCACTTCACAGTCTGGCCATGCTTCGCGTTTTGGAGCTCGGTCGCCATGCAAGTACCGATCGAGGAGTTGCAGCAAACCCAGAAACGGGAAATGCTGGTTTCATCACAGATTTGGCGACAAAGCCAGAAAATGTGAAGTTCCATGCTCCTACCAAAACAACGGGACAAGCAGTCAGTAATGGCCGCGTACGACTGCGTCCCAACAATGGCCGTCTATTCATCCGCGATCGTGACGACGGCGTTCGATTTCTGATAGACGCATGTGCCGATGTTAGTGTCTACCCCAAAAAACTATTGCGTGGACCTCTACCGGCGTCCGACGTTGTGCTTTTTGCGGTGAACGGTACGCGGTTCCCAACATACGGCCTACGAAGGGTGCATTTAAATCTGGGCTTCCGTCGTGAATTTAAATAGCAGTTCGTCATCGCAGACGTAGACTACGCAATATTCGGAGCAGACTTTATTCACCATTATAGATTTACGCAATAGACGTTTGATAGACTCGTTCACACAGGTGCGCGCAGAATGCGAGATACGGGCAGTGGATGTGCCTACAATAAAAACTTTGTGTATTGAGAGTTCGAATGAGTACCACAATTTACTCCGGGAATTCCATGCAATCACCAAGCCACCCAACATTCATCAAAAGCGAAGACACAATACCGACCACTTTATCCGAACAACTGATGATCCTCCCGTTTCATGTCGCCCCCGGCGCTTGGCGCCTGGTTGCGAAAAAGGAGTTCGATGCCATGGTCCGAGACGAGATCATAAGACCCTCTGACAGCAACTGGTCCCTAAAAAAGATCGCTACGTCGAAAATTTCTCATACGCGCTTCATGGTAAGAAATCGACTTGGTTCGAGCAAACCACCAAATTCCGGTCAAGACATCTCGAAAACGGCGATTATAACTCCCTGTGGACTTTTCGAATACACCCAAATGTCATTCGGGTTAAGAAACGCGTCGCAAACGTTTCAGAGATTTATTGACGAAGTTACACGTGGGCTCGACTTTTGTTTCGCATACATAGATGCATGTAAATAATTCATTTATTTTGTACTCAATGTGTGCTTTTATCAACTAATTTCAGTAGATAAAGTAGTAAAATAGTATTTAAGCGAAGAGCTAAATAATAGTTTTTAATGTGACAGATAATCAGTTTAATTATTTAGTCTTTGTTTCCTTCCCAAAATATATCAATCATTGTTTTAAGTAAGAGTTAACTTAATGTTACAATTTGGGCTGATCCAGCCGTCTGCACTGCATCGTATCAACACTGTAGTATCTAGTGTTTATAACTGATCATAGGTAACACGAATTTTGACTTAACTGTGTGCACCCTTGTAGGAAAGTAGAGGAATTATCAATTTTGTATACGATAAAAACGGTAATCTGGAGTTAGTCTTGTCTTCGACCTTGCCAGAGCACAAGCCAAAATAAATTGTGCGAGAATTAATTTGTCTTTTACGAGTATTTAATAAAGTAAAAACGAATTTTAACATCAGAAGTCAGATAAAACACTCGAGACAATAGTTAAGTGTAGTGTTTATGGTTCTGTAAAGTTGTTAGTGGATTTAGTAAATAAGAATTAGTGATAGATTTCGAATTATGTAGTTATTGCGACAGTGTTTAGTGGTGTTTAATTAAGAAGAACAATGTCTGACGATAAAAATTATTCTGGCCAGCTTTATCAGGAGCTGTTGGAAAAACATATCCAACGAAGAATCGACGCACTGAAAAGAAGCCTGGAGAAAATCAGAGGCGATGAAGATTCGGATCACGGAAGTGAGGAAAGAAATCGCTCGCGAATTTCGATAAAGGGCGACATAATACCGATGTTTGGCCCCGACAACCCGACCATGACTGCGGAGGGTTGGATCCAGAAGATCGACCAATTGAGTGACATCCACGAGTGGACCGAATACGAAAGGTCCAGTTTCATGTAAATGAAACTAGGAGGTCCTGCCAGGGAGTACGAGCGACTTGAGTCGTATGAGAAGGCGTGGGGCGAATGGAAAACGGTGGTGATTAGGGCATTTCTGCGACACACTGACTATGATGCAGTTTTAGAACAACTTGTGGCGAGTAAAAAGAAACCTGCAGAGACAATGAAGCACTATTTTCACGAAAAAATGGCGTTAATTCAAAAATGTCGCTTGGGCGAGAAGGTTGCGATTTCGTGTATTATCATCAGAGGGCTACCTCTTGAATTGCAAGCGAAAGCACGGGCATTTCAGTGCGATTGAATTTTATTGTACCTCTAGAGAATTATCAGAGTACGTGTACACATTTCGCGAGATTGCCGTACAAAAAGTAATTTGCAGTGCTATTCTGTATTCACGTAAGTGTTGCCGCTAAGCAATATAACGAAGCCGAGGATGACAGGTACCAGTGCACCCAAAACATTTCGCCCTCGATTTGGGTTAGGTGACGACACTTCTTCATGCGAAAAATATTCTCATACATAATTATAATAATTATTAGCCATAGGATATTAGGTCCATGTATCGTATTTTTATTATTTCATTTTATAAAACGAATAATTGTTAAATATTTTTAAATAAATTTTAAAATTTGAGTCTTTACATTTTTGTTTCCACTGATCTGGAATTCTGTTTCTCATTTGAAAGTTTTACGTCACTATCTTCCTCTTACTCCGACAACATACAGTGACATGGAAATACAAGGATAGACATATTGAGTAGGTACCGAAAACCCTCGATTTTCACAACAAAAGAAACAGGCACAAGCGTTCGGTTTGAAGGTGATTATGAAGATTTACAAGGGGTACGGTTTATGGCTTAGCGGCAACACCAGCGTGAATACTGTATATTTGTGCAAAAGGTTTGGTCACAAAAAATAGGACTATCGTTTCAGAAACGCACACATTTCAAGTACCGCAACCTCCAAATCAAAGCACATAAAATTAATAGACAGTGCCGGAATTACTCGTAATAGCATTTATAAAAAACAGTGCCGGATTAACGGGGAACTCGCCTGGGCATATGTGGACACTGGTAGCCAAGTCAATGTGATTTCGGTTTCATGTGTGGCATAACTAAATTTACCAACTCGTCCTGTTGTTAATACAATGAAAGGATTCGGCGGATCCAAAATTATCACCAACTGTGTGGCGAAATTCACTCTCGAATTGGACAAAATAAAAATTGAAATCGAAGTTGGTGGTTAGTTAGCCGGAATAATGAGAGAATTTCATTCTAACTTTGCAAGTCCCGTTGTGTTAGTGAAAAAAAATGGGGAGTATCGTATGTGTGTAGATTTTAGAGCTTCGAATGCAATTACTGTTAAAGACATTTACCCGATGAGTAATATTGAGGAGCAATTAAATTCTATGGCAAGTAAAATTTATTTCACTAGTTTGGATTGTAGCAATGGTTATCAAATACCGATTGAGAAAAATTCAATTGCAAAAACTGGATTTGTCACACCTGACAGGCATTATGAAACTCTAAAAATGCCTTTTGGTTTAGTAAACGCACCTTCGATTTTTCAGCCGGCAATAAACGCAGCTTTGGGAAATACTAGAATCCGTTTTGAGTTCATTAGATGACGCCGGTTTTAAATTAAAGCTTGAAAAATGTTCATTTTTAATGACAACTTTGCAATACTTGGTTATGAAGTCGGCCCGCAGGGTATTTCAGCCGCTTCTCAAAAAAACTAACGCTGTTAGCAAGTTCAAAACACCCACTTCAGTACACGAAGTACGTCAATTTTTTGGGCTAGCTGGATATTTTCGTAAATTTGTTAAAAATTTCTCCATAATTGCGTTACTTCTTACGAAATTGACAAAGAAAGCCGTACCGTTTGAATGAGGGGAAGCACAGAATTCGGCTTTCAATGACTTAAAACGACAATTAGTTAAGAAACCAATACTTTGTCCGTATAATCCATTACTTAAAACTCATGTTCACACAGATACAAGTCAAAATGGGTTTGCGGAATTCTTTTGCAGGTTCAACCTAATAAATCACTCAATCCAGTGGCATGTGACCACTTCAGCCGAACAAGTATACCACAGCTGCGAATTGGAAACATTAGCAGTTGTCGAATCATTAAAACGTATTCGTATTTATCTAATAGGATCACACTTGAAAATTGTTACTGATTGCTCAGCCGTTCGCTACACTTTCGGCAAGCGCTATTTAATCCCGCGAATTACACGTTGGTGGTTACAAGTACAAAAGTACGATTTGAAATCATGAGACGCGTAAACGTAATAAGCACGTTGTAGATTTCTACAGAAGATTGTTTTTTAACAATACAACTTCAAGACGACATAATTAGGCAAATAGTTGAACAACTTAAAAATGAATCTAGTAAAGATCTTGAACGTCAATTTATTTACAAAAATAATGGTTTAAATAGAAAAACACTTGGCGGAGAACGGTTAGTGATACCAAGAACTGCTAGATTCAATATTTTGCAAAAATATCATGATGAAATAGGTAATCCAGGTATAGTCCGTCACTCCAAAATTATAAAAGAAAACTTTTGGTTTGCCGAAATAACGCAAATCACGCTAAACCGGAAGATGAACTACATTCGATCCCAAAACCAGAAACGCCCATGCATACTGCACATATTGACCATATTGGACCGTTTGTGAAAAGTCAATCACGATTTTCATATATTTTAACCATAGTAGATTCTTTCACGAAATTTATAGTAGCACGACCTTCGCGTACTTTGGGTTCCAACGGAATGTATTAAAAATTTGAGAGATATTTTCGGGGATTTTTTGAGATATTCTAAACGTATAATTACTGATAATGGTTTAGCGTTTACAAGTAGGTACTTGACAGATTTTGTATGTGAAAAACAAATAAAGCATGTTATGACATCAGTGGCTACTCCCCGTGCAAAGGGGCAAGTAGAGGTTTCATTAGACTATTGGATACGATAAAAGCGTCGGTTGATGATAATGACTTTTATTGGGATGATAAAATACCCGAAATTGTTTGGGGTATGAACAATACAATAAGCAGTATTACGAAACATACTCCTCATGTGTCACTTGAGACATATCAAAACTACCGTGCTGACGAGAAGCAGTTGGATAGGATCATAGCAAAAGAGGAAATGGCATATTATGCGACATCCCTGCTGTACAATTGTCCCTTTAATTCTTTTGTAACACTTTTATCAATCGGTCCGAGAAAACGGTTTGATGGATTGATTTAAAAATTTACAGGGATATTGGGGATACATTAAACTGTAAAAATACCTAAAAATAATCGTTTCCCCATCAATATTAGTAAATACGCGGTAGATTTACTAAAATAATGCAGAGTTATTTTTTTCTCTTTTTTTAAATCAATGTTGAGGATGCAAAAAAAAACATTTTTCAAAAAATCATAAAACGATCTTGTAAGATTCCAGTTTTTGACACTACCCTTATATTCTCTGTATGGTCACTGGTTGCTGAGATATCGATGATCAAAGACAAAAGGATCCTTTTTTATTTAAAATCAGATCCCTCAACGACAAGCTGACGTAAAGAGAATATAAAAAAAGCATATTAAAGGTGACTGAGCAGGTTATCCGAACTATGCATTGACTTACTTAAAAAAAAATTCTTTACGTTCGTGGAGCAAAAGCAAAAACACACAAATTTACATTTTTTTCGCGCTATAAGTTAAGATTACGTAAAGCCGTAGCATAGAAATTTTTTTTGCCAATAGATCTCAAAACTAAAAACTTAAAGCTTCAAAATAGTTTTTTTGAAATCTAGATACAACCATTTCTCAATGAGTACAGCTTTTCAAATATCACCAAAAAATTCAGAAAATTATTTTGTTCCTTTAATTTTTTTGAGTAGTGTATCATCAATATAACAAAACTGAAGTGTAAAAAAATGTCTTAAAATAAAAATAATAATGAGTATTTATTAAAATTAAGTTTGTTTAACAATAGATGGTTTATAAAAATCCTTACACCTAAGTTCCTCAACGGTACGATCGGCAGCCTAAAATTTAAATAATTATAACGAAAATATTACATTCAAAACACACTTACATTTCTAACACTTCCAATCGAGTCATACATCAAAGCTTCCAAAGTTTCCCTTACAGTCTCATTCCAAAAAACTTCCATCTTATTAGCTGGTGAATGTTTCCCCAGGAACAAAAGAAAAAAACACGTTCGTTCTTGCATCAACGGATTATTATGTCTTAATAATTCAACAAAATTAACAGTTTTTCCCTCATTTAAAACAATCCGATCGATTAATTCAAAATTTTCAGGAAAAACCCGCAATACATGCGTTAGAATGGCCAATAAATCCATAACCAACTGCAATCGACTTTTACAAATCAAAAGAAACGATTTTAGTATTGAATACACATTCAAAACGGCGATGGAATCACATAATTGACTCAAAAACTCATTATCCAAATGCACCAAATGCGTAAGTAACACATAGATACATTCAAGTGCTTGAAAATCGTCCTCTGTTAAATCCGAAACATCTTTGTAAGTCTCATCACTCGAACTATCAAACACTTTCATTATTTTCTTGGAAGAGTAAATCAGATTTGGTACCAACTTTACTTCGAGATACACTTTTTTGATTTGTTCTTTCATCTCGTGAGAAACCCCTCGTAGGGCAAAAGGTAACGATAAGAGTTTCGCAACATAAGTCAACACTTTCGGACTTGTGTTCGTGTTTCGCAACGGTGATACGATTATGTTAGCTAAATAGGTTTGTGTTAACGAAGTGAGTTCACCTCCGATAACCTCCTCCATTGACTTCTGCAGAAAAACGATCCATTCTTCAGTTTCAATCGGATGACTTTCTTCAATAAAAGTGTCATTTCGAATCGACGAGTTTTGTGACGATAAATTATTGTTTTTCATGTCTTGCGGTGAGACCTTAGGTTCGCTTGATTTCGCTTTGTTACACATGTGGTCTTTCCTCTGTTGCTCTTGCACATGTAGCGTATTTTCAGACAAAGCTTTAGTCAACGGCATATTAGTTGAATCATTGCAAATCAAAATATGCCCTTTGACAAAATCATGATTCAAGATTTCCTCCCAATTGATTCTTTTCGAAGGATCTTTCTGTAAAAGCCCTTTGAGAAAAGAGACACAATTTTCGGAAATAAAAGTCGGCCATCGGATTTGCTCGTGTCGTATCAACCGAATCAGGTGTAAAATGGAAGCGGTACAAAATGGAGGTGCCCCGACTAATAATTCATACATAATACAACCAAGTGACCACAAATCTGCTTTATAATCGTACGGTTGTTCTTCTATCAATTCTGGTGCCATATAAAGTGGTGTTCCTTTAATTGATGTTAAGACGTGAGTCCCAGTACTCATATTTCGAGCAAAACCAAAGTCACATAATTTCGCACGATTTTTTGAATCGATTAATATATTTTGTGGTTTCAAATCTCTAAAATTGCACGTTAATAGTTATGTATTAAACAAGTGTCTTAATCATTATTTTTCCGTTGATCGTTTTTTAGTTAACTCAAAAAAGTTCAATTTCACACGTCAAAATAACAAATGTCAATTTTTCTAAAATGTATATCATTGGGTATGCGGTTACTAAAGTCTGCTTTTTTTAATAGGAATTACCAAGTCAAAATTTTGATGAAAAAATTTGTAGTAACTTATTCATAGCCACAAATTTTGTTTGTTTTTTGTATTTGTGCCTAGAAATTTTGTTAAAAAATTATGGTGATGTTTTCATGTTGTGATTGATTTTTAGCAAAAGTCCTTGTTTGCTCTTTGTAAGCCTTTATAATCTAATACTTGAAGACAGACATCACTACCTATACCTAATATCCAAAGACAAAATTCAGTGCTAATAACATTGATAGAACCACACTGTAAGTAAGTACAATGTTATAGACAAATATGAGCTTCTTACTACAAAAACTTAATAAAAAAGAGTCGTCACCCGAGGATTATAGTGTTCTATCTGCACTTTAAAAAAAAACTGAAAAAACCTTTGCTATCAACTTCGCTTTAATATTGTTCTATCTGAATAGGTTTCTATGGATATTATTCAACTTCAGGTTTTTTGGCTTTTTGTGTAAAGTGTAGGCATTTTAGTGGGACGCAGACACAAATTCGTTTTAGCCAACAACATTAATTTTGTCACCCACTTGATTTTGCCTAAAATGCATATTTTGTAAAATTTCGCCCAAATCAACATTTCACAATCTTATATTGGATTTTAAAAATCTTACAATAAGTTTCATCGATTTCGCGTAATTTTGTTTTCAGAAAAAAAGTGAACGTATGGTTGCTTTAAACAAAGCATGAAACCTGTGCAATGATCATTTCATGTAAGATTTCATGCTTCTTAACTTCTAAAAGTTATTCAGACAGGCAATAGATGAATAGTGCAATGGTGCGTACAAAATGCTGAAAACCCATAAATCTTCTTTGAAGGACAAAATTATTTATTGGCTGAAGTTAACTGGTAAACCAAACGTTTACCAACTAATTAAAGATGAAGAAGTCTTTTGTCAGGCTTGTGGCAAAACGGTAAGTAGAACTTGAGTAAAGTTAAGTAGAACTTAACCGCATAAGCTTGAGGCGTTTTTCTTCTGCATAAAAACTGTTTCACATTTCAGTTTAAATGTGAAAGAGATCGCGTCTAGAACAACAAAGTCATGTAAATACTCACATTCATCAAACGTTGTTGACATTAGGGCATAATGTAAAAAAAAAAGACTTTTTTCCTGGAAATGTGTAACGCATTAATTGCGGCAAACATCCCATTACACAAACTAACATGTCCACAGTTAAAAGAATTTCTGCAAAAATACAACACTGGAAAAAATATTCCAGATGAAGCTACCTTGCAGAAAATTATATACCACAATACTATAATCAAGTTATATATATTTCATTATACTCTTTGTTTTAAAGTTTTAGCTAATATTGGCTTATTTTAGACTATCGAGAAGATTAGGCGATATATTGGGGATTACAATATTTGGGTAGCTGTAGATGAGACAACTAGAGCTGGTTCAGGATCTAGTGGCACCTTTTTATCAATTCTTTGACAAGTGCTGGAAAAGGTAATTTGGTAAATCGATCATTAGAACATGGAGTGAACAATGGAGTCAAATGTTGTGATAACTTCTTTATCTTTCGATGGTACTGCAACCATTTTGAGTGAAACATTTGATGACCCAAACAACATAATTCCTTTTTTATGCATCCGCTAATAGAGCAGAAAATTTATTTTTATTTGGACGCATGTCACATGTTAAAACTTATCAAAAATTGCTTGGCAAGTCAAGAGAAATTAGTTGACAAAAATGGGGGTGAAATTTTATAGTTTTTTTGAAAAATTGGTAGAAAGACAGCATATAGAAGTCTTCATGCGGCAACAAAGTTGAAGAAGCGTCACATAGATTGGAGCAAAGAAAAAATGAAAGTTAAAAAAGCTGCTCAAACTTTTAGCAAAAGTGTAGCGGATGCTTTTCTTTTCTTGAGGCATAACTTAACAGTGGAAAACTTTTATCATGTTAACCGACAGCAAAATTTTGTAGAATTGTAAGTAATCTGTTCGATTTTTTAATACTAGAAACTTTGCTGCAAAATATAAATATCAGAGGCCAATAAATTCCCAGAATTTTCAAGAAACATTTAAGTACTTACGTTTTTGCAAAGAGTACATTCTTGAGATTCAACTGCATAACGTCCCCGTTGTAAATACAAATAGGAAAACAGGATTTTTGGATTTTTTATTAACATAGAAAGTTTAATTGCTATGGTTTCTTTGTATATAGCCAGTGACATGGCAGTATTAAAATATATGTTATCATATTAAATGTCGGAGGACCATTTGGAAATACTTTTCAGAGCAATAAGGAGTAGAGGCGGTTCAAACAACAACCCCACAGCGCGTCAGTTTGAACATTCGTACAAAAGATCACTGCTGCACACAGAAATCAAAGGCGCCGATTTGGGCAATACTGTTGCATTGGACAGTCAGTACTAGCATTTTAACTGTTTCATCAAAAATATTAACTTTTGATGATAATAATGACAATCTAGAAGAATCTCAAGAATATGTATTAATTTCAAATGTAGTTCAAAATGATAAGCGAACAGCGTGGTGCGTGGTCGTTAATTATTTTTTGGCAGTGTTAAATATATTTTAGTTGTTTGTGCACCATGCTATAAAGTGTGCTACTATTGACAGAACGTGTGTATTTCATCTTGAAAGTTGAAGTACATTTATTAAAATAAGTGGTTGAATTTTCAATAATTTTTTCATCTCAAAACGTACTCGTAAGTATTGCTTTCTATTCATGTATTATTAATTACAATAATATATTTGTGAAGCCAAAGAAAATCACGCCTTTCAGTAGAGTGAGTTATGAGGTATAATATGAGGCGGTGCGAATCGGATCTACACAAGGCTGCCGACATGTTAGTAAAAATATACAACGACGATCTTGAAATCAGTCTTAGGAATGAGTTAGTTCAGTTTGCAGCCTTGATAGATGCCTTCAAGAAGGACTACAATATCGACAGTGAACCAAAAGAGATGTTTTTCTACAGGATACTGGTTGATAACAAGTTCGGCGCTGCATTCGCTAATATTGAAATTACATTGAGAATGTATTTAGTGTTATTGGTGACTAATTGCTAATTATTAAAAATAGGCTGCGTATGACGATGACGCAAAAACGTCTATCATATCTGTCAATGGAGTATAGAGAGTAATTTGCTTTAAGAAATGGACTTCGGAAAATGGGTCCACAAAACCGGAACTTATGAAAAAAATTAAATATTGTTGCTGAAAGACATACTATAATTAATAATTTCATTCAGCGTCCCTCTTTGCCCAATGAAAATCCATTTTTTGTGCCAGACCCAGTGCATATCTTAGAAAATCTAGCGGCAGCGCTGACAAAAGGTCACAAATTTGTTTTAAGTAATAATCTTGTGCCACAATATAATTTGCCATCAAACATAATCAATGGAACCAATAAAAAGCATGCATAAAATTGACAAACGTGATGTATTGAAATTGTGTCCACTGTGGGCGATACACTGCAAGTGAGATTATTTCATTTAATTAGTTCCATCATTTATAAATTTTGGGTTTGTTAAATCGAGGTATGTATGTGCACTATCACATTCCTAAAATAATAATAAAATCTTACTTACTGAGAGTGACCGAGCCAATATTTTAACCGAAGCCTTTAAGCAATTGGACGAAATTAATGTAAAAGTTTTTTCAATAACTTTTGACGGTGCAGCCTACAATTTAAACATATGCACAAGCTTGGAAGCAAATTTTGAATATGGCCCAAATTTTAAGAATAATTTTAATAACCTGTCACCTCAGAAATCTACTATGTTGTTTTATTAGATTTGTGACAAATGATGAAGTTAGTTCGGAAAATATTTGGAGAAAAACATATTTTAAAAAATTCAGATAGAGAGGATGTTAAATGAGAATTTACTTAAAAATTGCATGAGCTCGAAAAACAAGAAGAGCTACGTTTGAGTAATAAATTGACAGAAAAGCACATAGACTTTAAAAACAATAAAATAAATGTTCGCTTGACTATGCAAGTGTTAAATAACAGTATCTCCAAAACTTTATTATTTTTAAATGTAGTTCCTGACGCTACATTAAATCAAAATTTTGCCGGCTGCAAGCCAACAGCAGACTTATGTTTGAAATTTAATAACATGCAGATATGTTAAATTGCAAGAATAGACTTTCTACTAAGCAATATGATCTCCACTAACTGAATATTATTATGATGAATACTTAATGTATGTCAATAAATTCCTTTCTTAAATAGTACAACTAAAAGATCAGAATGAAACTCCAATAATAAATACAGACAGAAAATTAGGCTTTCTAGGACTTATAGTTGGACTTAGGAACATGTTTCCACTTTTTGACAAAAAAGTAAAAACCATGGGTTTCCCTATTTCTTGACTTACAAACTTACACAGGATTATTTGGAAACGTTTTTTTCAACTCAAAGGTCTAGGGGCAACAGTCCCAATGCCCATCAGTTTAAAAGTGCATATAAAAGGCTTTTGGTTCGTCACAAAATTAAAGAAATTGAGACAGGCAATTGCCCCTTTGATGGGGTAGACATCTTAGTGTTTCATCTACGAGGAACATTGTTGCAATTTGCCCCCAGGGTGAGTGAAATACATATTTCAAAAAAATAGAAAAAAGAGTTGATTGCCAAATATGTCTCTACATATTTTTATTTTTTTTTGCCACTGACCTTATAAGTATATTAAGAAAAGGCAAGACAGGGCCGTTCCTAGGGGGGGGGGGAATTGCGTGTACATCTGGACCCTACCGTAACAGAGAAAGAAATCAAAAAGATACTTGTTGAAGAGACCGGAAATGAAGATACTGTAGTGGAGTGCAGGATCAAGATCCTTGACAAAATAAATCCAACAGGAAAAAAATTAGCTTTCGTCACACTGGGAGAAACGGAAGCGCATCAACTATTAGTGAAGAAAAAAGTTGGCTCGGGCTGGCTGAGATGGCGGGTAAAAGAAATCCTGACGCCAACAAAATGTGTTATATGTAAAAGAGTCGGACACGTGGAGAAAGAATCTACCCAGAGAAACGAGATTTTAAGATGCTATAACTGTGGAGGTTCTGACCATATAGCCAGAGCATGCAGCAACCAATCCAGATGCTACCTATGTAGCAAAGAAGGGCACAGGGCGGAATCTACAAACTGCCCAACCTACACACAGATGTTAAGAAGGATAAAAGGGCAGGAAGCTCACTTCAAGGATGAACAATAAAATAACAGTCCTACAAATTAACACGGACAGAACTAGGGACGCGCATGACCTAGCTCTAGTAACGGCCATGGAACATAAGGTCGATATAATAGTACTATGCAAACCAAACAAGAACCGTATTAGACAAGGGGGATGGTTCACGAACCAAAAACAAGATGTAGCCGTACTCATTAACAACAGCAGGGTAGTCGTTAGGGGTATGGAGGCAAAAGACGGATATGTAGTAATCAAACTGAACAACTTAAACCTAATATGTTGCTATTTCTCTCCAAACGATACAACATTGAACTTCTCCAAATATATCGAAAATATAGAAAATGATGTGCAAGGCAACAGAAATAGCATCATAATGGGGGATCTTAACGCAAAGTCTGTAACGTGGGGCGCAAGAAGAACGGACGATAGAGGCCACATAGTAATGGAGTTTTGTCTCAATATCCACCATCTTCTGAGTTTTTGATAGATTTACCCCTAAAGACGTGGAATTGGAGGAGGCTATGAACAAGATTGCGGATGAAATGGAAATGAATATGAAGGCAGAAGAATTGAGTAAAATAAAAAATGAAAATTATCGACTTTTGGATGAGACTGTGATACCGAAAACAAAATCTGGAAGCAAATTTTAACCGTTGGTGTAAAAGCATTTGAAGACCGTCTTCCAGCTATTAAAATTAGCAATCCTCAACTGACGGCTGCTACATCGTTTATAAAAAGTGAGTTTGAGGAATTTGTGAAGAAGATGCGTGATTATGCATACGTTATAACCGATGTGGATAAAGAAATTCCTATGTGTGAACTCAAAAATTACAGAGTGGTATTGTACAAGAACAAAATCCTTGGATTAATCCAAAATTTGAAGACTTCTATAATCCAAGTTATTTGAGTGTTGAAACTGTGCAAAATGTGATAAACGTGAGTGACTTAATAATTACGAATACTTCATTGACACTGTTGCACTCTATATATATTTATATATTGCTAAATGGCGGAGGTAAAGAAAAAGAATTTGAAAATACTGTCAGAAAGCTTATTGTTGAACGTTTTGAATCAAGTTCTATTTTGTAAAAAAATTTCTTTAAGTTACCTCATTCTATAAAGTATCATGTACGAAAGAGGGTAGCATACTATTGAGATTTTAATGATCATAATGCTCCATTTTTATTAGTGCAAATGGTTTTAATTTTAATAAGTAAATAAAACAAAATAGAAAAAAAAGTGCATTATGTACCCAAAAAGCAAAGTGTCATATAATTCATCATTCAGATGCTTAGAAATGTTGACGCGGTATGTTTTCTTTGCCTCTTTGAATATAACCTCATAAAAATGTCTTCAGGCGCGCGTCCTAATTCGCGTCCGCGTTTCGTTTCGTTTCGTTTAGCGCCCCCGTCCGGTTCCGCGCCGCCCCGCTACCCAGCACAGCAACGCGCCCCGTCGTCCGCCCCGACTCGTGCTGCCCACGGCCAAGGATGGTAGACGGATTGCTCAAGCTCACGAATCTGTCAGCCGGCGTCACGTGGTCCATAGACATGCTGTGACGTCAGAACTGGTCTTTAATCGCGTCAAATACATTGGTGTTATTATGAGCAAATACAAAATAATGCAAATAAAAGTGAATTATGACTATGTAACCGGTAACATTATACTTCGCCAAGCGCCCACCAGAATAGCGCTGCAATCGTCCAACTCCGTCCGAAGCGTACCGAAGTCACCCTCTACCCCGAGCAACCCTTAATAAAATGACAACCACTCACGCTCAAGAARCAGTTGCTTACTTGCATCAATCGGGCATCCTTGGGGTCCCAACTGGTCTCGTAGGCTATCTTCTGAATCACCAGGGCATCCGTGGGGTCCGAAATTGGTTAGAAGTCCGCGAATATTTACTTTCGGTTACCGCGTTCTATAATCGCGCTGATTTGAATCGAACTTAGTGTAATTTAATATTAAATAAGTTGTAATAGAGAGCCTAAATAAACAGTTTACAAAGCCCCTTATTACAAAGTGGCGCCCAACGTGGGGCTCGAATAAAAAACGCGTGTGTCAATTTGTGCTATAACCAAGTGCAAAATTCCGCTAACCAGAGCCCAAACACTCAACATGGCTATCACAGCCGAGGCAGTCCAAGAACTAATCCGGAACGTACAAATTCCGCCTCAAACGAAGCATTTCACACATTGCCCTGCCCGTTTCAATGGGACCAGATCAGCTGAAGCAGTTAACGACTTTATTGCCAGTACTGGCTTTTACAAAGAAACCGAGGACATCAAAGACGAAAATGCGCTGAGGGGTTTACCACTTCTTCTGGAGGGACCAGCCCACACCTGGTGGACAGGAGTAAAGAATACCGTCAACACGTGGGAAGAAGCCAAAGATCTTATAAGGAACGAATTCGCTCCTAGACCGCCGGTCTACAAAATTTATCAGAAAATATTTTCCGAACCACAGGACGTGGACACACCAACTGGTCTATTTGTGTTCGAGAAAAGAGCCTTACTAGCTCAAATCCACCCGCCCGACTCAGAGGCCCGCCAAATCGACTTCATTTACGGTCTTCTACGACACGAGATACGTGACCGAACAACGAGAAGTTCGATTACCAGCTTCTCACAATTATTACAAATAAGTCGAGAAATAGAAGAATCTATTAGAGAACGAAGTGATGACAACAAGAGCCAACTTTCCACCGCACAAAAGGGGAAAGAAAATCGGAAGACAGCAGGCAGATGCGAATTCTGTCGCGCTTTTGGACACAGCATCGCCGTATGTCGTAAAAAAGAAAAACAAGAGAAACTAAAACCTGGTAACAGCGCACAAACAGCAAATACAGTACAATGCTATGGATGCGGCAAACCAGGGGTAATTCGCCGAAATTGTGAAAACTGCAACCAAAAACCAGCGCCAGACACCGGATTTTGATTGTTTAATGCTAATGAAGGTACCCGACCAGCCTTAAATATTAGCATAAATGGCGCAGCAGGTACCGCATATTTGGATACTGGAGCACGTACAAGCCTTGCAAGTCCCGAATTGTTCAATATCCTCAAACAACAGGGTACGATCTTTCAAAACACTGAAATACTTTTTACACAAGCCGATGGAAATGCCCGGAGAACAACTGTACTCGCTGCCGACGTCCCAATTACGTTAAAAAATAAGAAGATAACTACAAACGTCTTCTACATTCCGACAGCTCCGAAAGTAAAAACCCTGCTAGGTATAGATTTTGCGAAAAAGGCTGGAATAACAGTTGATTTCAAAAACGAGCGTTGGTTCTACACTGGACGCCGCCACGAATCATATGGATTCGTATCAAAAGATACAATAACTGAGAAGCAACCCGCAATTCGAGAACCATCTCTCGACGTAATATTTGAACAACAGAAAAGTTCCACTCTGTTATCGCCCATAAATAGCCCTCCACGGAAAAAGACGCCCCAGATCTCAAGACTTCAGGCTCCGCCTAGCCCTAAAGGAAATAACAGACTCATCCCAGCCTCACCAACCCACCACACAGCTCACCTACTCAACCACTACGTGCCAGACAGTATAGAACTTTACTCGCGAAGCTGTTATCAAATGTATGATGCATTTCAAGCAGTGGAATGAATTCGAATGGGAAACTGACGAAGATGCCAATTTGTTCCCTACATATAATATGGCCGCATTTGACGCAATACATTTGAGGTCCCCGGATGAAGGCCATCACCTCCAGCCAAGCCAAATATCAGAAATTAATGATCTGTTAAGCCAACATGTGGCACTTTTCGAAGCACAAGGTCCACCTACCCCTTACGCGAAACATCATATTGACACCGGAAACAATCCCCCTATTGCCAGCGCTCCATACCGAGCTACTCCAACCAAGATAAAAATTCTTAAGGAGGAAATCAATGCTCTTTTAGACGCCGAAATTATAGAAGAATGCGAGAGCGCATGGGCAGCCCCGGTAGTGTTAGTGCCAAAACCGGACGGAAATACTAGACTATGTGTGGACTACAGGAAATTAAACGCCGTTACCAAGCCTGATATGTATCCTCTACCGAGATTAGAAGACCTCCTTCACTCCACAGGAAAGTCGATATACATATCCACTATGGACCTAAAAGCTGCTTACTAAGTGGAAGTGAACCGAAACGACAAAGACAAAACAGCCTTTATAACGCCATTTGGAATTTATCGATTTCGTCGACTACCATTCGGTCTGCGAAATGCCCCCGCGACCTTTCAAAGGCTCATTGGATGATTTTGCTTTCTCCGTCATATGAGAAGCACCTGCAGGATTTACAAGCATGTTTTCAAAGTATGGCACAATTTCAACTTCGGATGAACCGCGAAAAATGCCACTTCGCGTGCACCGAAGTCAAATATCTGGGCCACCTTATTACGCGTAAAGGTATTCAAACAGACCCTGGAAAAGTTTCGGCTATCTTAAACATGCCCAAACCAGACACATTGAAACATTTGTTAACTTTCCTCCAAACATGTAATTGGTATAGAAGATTTATTCCGAAATTTTCCGAAATTGCTCGTCCACTCACGTTACTCACTCGGAAAAATACTCCATGGGAATGGGGCACAGCACAGACAGAAGCATTCACAACGCTGAAAAACCTCTTAACCTCAGCCCCAATTCTAAAACAAGCCGAGCCCGAAAAACCTTACCGTCTACGCACAGACGCCAGCTCATACGCCATTGGAGCGGCTCTCCTTCAGGGGGAGGGACCCAAGGAACGTCCCATCGAGTTCGCCAGCCGATTACTCACGTCACCTGAACAAAATTACTCTACAACAGAACGTGAAGCGCTCGCTTTAGTATGGGCAGTTCAGAAATATCGAGGGTATATTGAAGAAGCCGAGACAATTGTTATCACCGACCACCAACCATTGAAGTGGTTGATGTCCATAAAAACACCCACTGGCAGAGTTGCCCGTTGGGCTCTTCAGCTCCAAGCTTATAACCTCACCATCGAATACACACCCGGAAAAGCAAACGTAGTAGCAGATACCCTTTCACGTCCTCCGGTGAGTGGAGACCGGACGAATTGTCCCATGTGTTTAGTAACGGTGGACGTACCGCGAAAAAGTGCTTCCGACTTACGAAAGGAGCAACTAACCGATCCCGAAGTTAAGAAAATCATCGACACGTTCGAAAACGGAAAACCCGAGGAAACTACTCAATGGACAGGCCGTGGATATTTATTATCCCAAGGAGTGTTATATAGATATTCGCCCGAAGATGATGTAGAAGAAGCTCAATTAGTAGTACCGGAACAACTACGGCCCCTAATCATGAAGGAATATCACGACGCCGCCACTGCCGGTCACTATGGAGCCGAACACACCGCCTACAAAATTAGGAAAAAGTTCTTCTGGCCTGGAATGTACACATATATCAAGAATTATGTCAAAGCTTGTCCAGTCTGCCAAAAATACAAAGCCTCCAACTTGAAACCTGCAGGCCTCCTCCAGACCCCAGTATTACAACAGCGCTTTGAAGTAATATCTGTCGACCTTTTCGGACCACTTCCCCGAGGACCACAGTAAGAAACATGGGTCTTTATCATAGAGGACTGTGCCTCACGATGGATTGAACTTTTCCCACTTGTCACTGCCACTGCCGATGCATGTGCTACAACTCTTCTAAATGAAATATGCCTTCGGTATGGTATACCTAGAAGAATAATTAGTGACAACGGAACCCAGTTTATAAGCTCCCTGATGCAACAATTGTGCTACTGTCTAGACATCGACCAGGCGTTCACCCCGATATATCACCCTTCGGCAAACATGGTTGAACGAAAAAACCGTGATATGAAGACACAACTTTCAATACTGCTCGACAATGAATATACAAACTGGCCAAATAAACTACCGGCTATTCGGTTTCCAATGAATTCAACCCGATGTCAAACAACCGGATATACCGCAGCATACCTTATGTTCGCTCGAGAACTGAGAACCCCCGAAGATCTCAAACACGATCTCCGTGAGATCGCCCAAAATGATAATTTTGTTCCAGATATCACTCCTCGGTTGGTTTCCCTAGCAAATACGTTGAGGGAAGTCAAAGACACCCAGGAAACACAGCAAGATACCCGGAAAAAATATGCAGACCAAAAACGCCGCCCCGCTCCCACATTCAAACCCGGAGACGAAGTTCTAGTGAATACCCACTCACTTAGCAAAGCCTCCCTTGGTCATACCTCTAAATTTGCTCCAAAACGTGATGGTCCCTATGTGATCCTCAATGCCAAGGGACCCTGTAGTTACGAAATAGCTGCCAAATCAAATCCCACGGTTCCTCTGGGAACATATCATACATCGGCCCTAAAACATTTTATCACTACCAACGATCAGGAGGTCACGCCTATACAACCCATTAGACGTCGAGGAAGACCCCGAAAGAAAAATTAGATCCAGAACCTAAGTCCGAGACGTCCTACAGGTTCTGAGGGGGAGAGTTGTAACCGGTAACATTATACTTCGCCAAGCGCCCACCAGAATAGCGCTGCAATCGTCCAACTCCGTCCGAAGCGTACCGAAGTCACCCTCTACCCCGAATAGTMCCGAGCAACCCTTAATAAAATGACAACCACCCACGCTCAAGAARCAGTTGCTTACTTGCATCAATCGGGCATCCTTGGGGTCCCAACTGGTCTCGTAGGCTATCTTCTGAATCACCAGGGCATCCGTGGGGTCCGAAATTGGTCAGAAGTCCGCGAATATTTACTTTCGGTTACCGCGTTCTATAATCGCGCTGATTTGAATCGAACTTAGTGTAATTTAATATTAAATAAGTTGTAATAGTGAGCCTAAATAAACAGTTTACAAAGCCCCTATTACAACTTTAATTTGTTAAAATCGCTTTTGAATTTATAATGAGAGTATTGTAGTTATAATTTGAGGTAATACAAAATAAAATTATCTGTTTATTCGTGTCCAAAAATTGAGTAAATCTGTTTTCTAATCGGGGTAATCAGACGCAATAATTCCAATAATACATTGTTCTCCATGTTAATGATATTGTATAAGACACTAAGAATAGGAACAATTTTTTTACTTTTTTGTCGACGGGTATTCTTTACGTTTAAAAATGCTCTAACAAAAATGATTTAATAAATAAATTGCCATTGAAATTTTTTGGTCATAAAGTCGTGAAAATATCAATAAGATTCCTAGGTATACATACAAAATAGAAACGGGTTTTATTTTTGACAATTATATGCAATAAATTTTGTTGATAAATAATAATACAAAATCTAATAATGGATAATAGGTAAAAAAATGTAGAACAAAATAATCCATTTTTATAATAATGTAATGACTACGGATACCTAAAGACTAAAGTATGTAGTTCTCCGTAGTAATGACTTTAAAGAAGAAAGAAGTGAGCAAAACGACTTTCAACACAATATAAATTTAATTTCTTCAAATAAAAACATTTGGTAGCTGCACTAAACTTGAATTTTGAAACCAGCGTAGGTACAACCAAAATTCAGTTAAATAATATCCCAAAAATTAAACAAAGATTTGTAAATAATATTTGCTTTCTATATTTGTCCACCTGACTAAGAGATTATAAAAACAATACAATAGTAAAAAAATAATTTTGTAATTTTGAATTATTGAAAAATAAAGAGATCACGTAAATTAAAAATCAATTAACAATTTTATAACATAGGTACATAATTGTTAGTAAATTACAAAGTGGTGCTAAACACCACTTACACCCCACGTTTATAATTTTAATACAAGCAATACAGAATTTCTGGGGATTACAAGATCAAAAATATGCTTGGGAAATTATACTGAAACACATTGTATCTGGTGTAATGTTAGCGATGCAAGTTTATAAAATATGTACCTACTTATACCGTGCGATCAAAAAAAAATAGAGTAGGCGGTGATTGAAGTCC